GGTCAGGGCTGTTGGGGAGGGGTGTTGTGGGGTGTAGAGGGTGGACGGGAGGGGTGTTGTGGGGTGTAGAGGGTGCAGGGGAGGGGGTGTTGAGGGCTGTGGGGGAGGGATGTTCAGGGGTATAAGGGTGTAGAGCGGTGTTTTCTTTTTTTTTTTTTGGTCGTTTTCGGAGTGGGGGCCCTTAGCCCTCGTCATCCGCAGCCCCCCACCGCTCGCATTTCTCAAAAGCAGGTCAGACGGAGGGGAAATGGGGTAGAACGGGGTTAGAGCGGGGCTAGGGGGGGTTAGAGCGGCGCTCTAACGGCGCCCTACCCCGAGCACCCAACCCCATTGAATATGATGGTGATGTGACCACTCACGCCCCCACATGGCATGCACATTGCTGCACCCACCCATTGAACATTTCAAGGTGCCACTGGCCCCTTGTCACATGCGTTCATGTCCTTAACACTTTTCCAATCTGGGTCTATTTCCACACAGACATCGATGGCAAGACACCATCCATAAATTAGCTGAGCAATTTCAGCATCCCAATTTTGACTCACGACAACTCAACAGGCTATGACCAGCCAAACTGCAACATTTCAGGAGCGGAAACAGTTTTCTTTGTACTCTTCCTCTCTAACTTCTTGCTTTCCAATCCAGCTCCTGCTGATACATGGACTCCTTGTCATGATTTGATGATTCTCACGTTCGCGCCTCGGTTAGTGCAGCTCAGCGCTAATTCTCGCATTCGCGCCCGCCCTCCAACTTACGATTTTTCGAAAACGATGACCACCACCGCTGCCCGCGTCGAAGAAGCCGCCTGGCCAGGGAGGCCATAGCCCTGGGTAGCAACGAAGGCGCCCTACATGTGCGCGCCTTGGCGATCTTTGAACCTGACAAGGGCATCGGGCAATGTATACGGGATTGGTTGCACTCGAGTCATCTCCTTTCAGCGGAAGAGAACCAAGCTGCACCTAGCTGGAACACCGCCAAGGTGAGTACAGCGGCGACCGGCAATAGGGAACCGCAAGATTCCAGCGCACAGGCAGACGCCTTGCCTCCCATCCACACTCGAGTGAAACAGCTCTTCACCCCGGTGTTTAGTCGTTCCGAAGCTTTGTTGACAAGGAAGATTCGAGACTCCCATCCACACTCGAGTGAAACAGCTCTTCACCTCGGTGTTTAGTCGTTCCGAAGCTTTGTCGACAAGGAAGATTCGAGACACACAATCAAGAGCAGGCCTTCTACGCAATTTGTCCAAAGGAGGGACAAACAAAGTCGAGTGACACAGCACTGAAAATTTTCTACCCCTGTCTCCCCCTCTCTCGAATCTAAGAAACCACCTAATACCCCTATGTTACATCTTCGACTCACACGGGTCCTACCGGACCCGACTTAGGGCCGGAGGGACACACCAGGGCCTAAAGGCCCGACCTTTGGGGTTACAG